GGGCAGCGGTGGGAGCCCCAGCCCTGCCGGATGCCCCCCGGCAGGGACGCAGGGGCACAGAGACACCCCCACGCTGGGGAACAGGGAGGGTCCTGGGGGGGACCCCTTCCCCCACCCAGTTACTCACTGTCCCCCGAAGAGCTGCATCCCCAAAAGGGCAAAGACAACGATGAAGAGGAAGAGGAGGAAGAGGAGGCTGATGATGGACTTCATGGAGTTCAGGAGGGAGACCACCAGGTTCCTCAGGGAAGCCCAGTACCTGCCAGGGCAGAGCCAGGCTGCGGGGCCACAGAGGGACCGGGGACACGGCGGGGGACAAGGGGACGCGAAGCGACGGCGAGGGCACGAGGGACGGCAGCTTGGCACCCGGGTACCCCGTGACGGCTCCATGCAGTCGCCCGCTCGGCTCATGCTCACAGACGCAGCCAGACCGACGGATGGACAGACGGACAGACGGACGGACAGAGCGGCAGCACCCGCCCCGCCACCACTTACTTTGTGACTTTGAAAATGCGCAGTAACCTGAGAGCTCGTAGCACGCTGATCCCGAAGGATGTTCCCGGCTTCACAACAGCCCAGATCACCTCGAAGATGCTTCCGATGATAACCTGGGCGGAGGAGAGTGTCCCCGTCCTGTCCCCATCCCGTCCCTCTCCCTCTCCCCAATCCTGTCCCCATTCCCATCGCTATCGTGGCCTCTGCCCCATCCTCGTCTTGGCCTCATCCCATCTCACCCTCATCCCATCCCATCCATCTCATCCCCATCCCTATCCTATCCCCGTCCCCATTCCCAACCCATCCCACTCCCATCCCATCCCCATTCCCAACCCATCCCATCCCCATCCATTCCCATCCTATCCTCATCCCCATTCCCAACCCATCCCACCCCATCCCATCCCCATCTCCATCCCATTCCATCCTATCCATCTCATCCCCATCCCATCCCCATCCCCATCTCCATCCCATCCATCTCATCCTCATCTCATGCCCATCCCATTCCCATCCACATCTCCATCCCATCCCATCCCATCCC